ATATTTGACATTGTGGTATTAACACATTTCTTGATTTCTTCTTGTTTGGATGTCAAACATTCAGGACCACCTTCGGCAATGAATACTGGAATAAAAAAAAAAACTTAAAATCAAAATATAATCAATATGAAAAATAAACTTATAAGTAAATTCCCAAAGTAAGGTTGCTTAATCTTTAGCATGTTTTGAATCCTTATCTACTTAACTTGTAATTAATAATTGTTGATTTTTTAATTAAAATAAGTATATTTATACTTTTGGAAAATGTGCTTTCAGTACGATTTAGACGCTCAGTCGCCTTAGTCGTACCACCTATATAATTAAACCTTCTGCCAAAAAAGTGAACAATTCAGTCAGAGATCAACTTTTCTCTGGTTATCACTTACCAAGTCCAAGATAAATATTAAAATAAAACATAAAATAAAAAAACATAAACTTCTCAGTTAATAAATTCCTCAAAGTAAAGTATGCATTTTTAATATTATTAAGACTCTGTCCTAAGAAAGGAGATGGAACTGTTCATGAAATAAGTAAAATCGTTTACAATGACTTGGCGTTTACCAATTAGAGCAAATTTTGCAATATAGGTATTCATTTTTATTCATTAAAAAAGCTTCATAAAATGCTCCCTAACTAGTTGGTATTGGTATTTTGCCTTGAGGCAAGTTACATAACTTCCCGATACGTGTAAATAATCGACTTAATCAATAAAAAATAAATTAATTTATGAGTCATTAAAAGTATTCCGAGTGGATTTATTACACATAATTGAAAACGAACAATTCGTTAACTCGAAATATTTTCTAAGAGCAAATTTTCAAAAATCAACAATTTTTATAATTGAACCAGTTTCCGTAGAACTTTAATGCTTTAGTATGTTTATTAAGACCAAGTACTCTATCGTTATATCAAGTAAATCGTCTAATTTTAATTTGAAAAAAACGCCAAGAAAACTACTCATTTTCTCAAATTTTATAGAATATTTAAAATTAAACGACTTGTCGTAGGGCCGCAATATTAGTAAGTTCTATAAGACAATTTTATATATCGGAAAAAAGTTTCATAAAAATCGGTTTAAATTTTTTTTTCAACAGTTAATTACAAGAAAACGGCTCGGTAGATTTTCACCTAAAACTAATCAGTATCATTCCCAACTAATATCTTTCGAACAGTTTTTGATTTTTTAAAATCGGTTCGGTAGTTTGCGGTTAAATGTGGACGAAAAGTTTTACACTTTACAAAGAAACGGCTGGGCAGATCGTTTCACAAAACTGACAAACGATAGTCCTCATTGAGATACATCAAATGGCTTTTAAAGTTTTACAGTTTTTTTCAAATTACAAAGAAACGGCTGGGAAGATCGTTTCACAAAACTGAAACGATAGTCCTCATTGAGATACATCAAATGGCTTTTTGAGAAAACGTCGATCAAAGGTCTAATTTTGACAAATGCCAAAAAAAACGAAACCAATTTTTGCAAACTTTGACGAATTTTTAAAGTTAAACGAGTTGTCGTAGGACCGTAATATTTTAGTATGATCTAGAAGACTATGGTATCCATCGTCAAAAAAATAATAATAAAAATAGTCGATTTTTTTTTAACACTTTATTACAAGAAAACGGCCCGGCTGATCTCTACCAAAAACTAATTAGCACGATTCCCAACCATTATCTTACGAACAGTTTTTGAATTTTCAAAAACGATTCAGAATTGCGGGTTTAAACGTGGACTAAAATATTTCACTTTTCTGCTATTTACAAAGAAACGGCTTGGCTGATCATCGCGCAAAATGATATACGCTGGTCCTCATTGAGATTCATCGAATTGATTTGAAATTGGTCCAGCCGTTTTTAAAAAAACGCCGATTTACGGGAGAAATCTGTTCTCACACACACACACATACTTTTTCCAATTGTTGGTCTAATTCGATTCAGAATGGCTTGAAACGTCGAGAAAACATAAAATTAGCGAATCGAATTTTTTGATGAAAACATAAACTTCTCCTTCGGGAAGTTAATAAATTGGAGCAAATAAGGAATTTTGCACAGGTACGACTTAAGATGCAAAGTTTGAAATTAAAACAAATGACATAACCTAAACTAATTATGCCTTTTGAATGAGCTTACTTAATCGATTGTGAAAAAACTATATGAATAAACATTAGTAAGGTAAGCACTTGTGTCAGTATCATATTCTAGCCATAATAAGCTCATGATCGAGTCTTTGTAAATATTATTACAAACTTTAGGAAAAACATACTTTTTAATTACATATTTTTGTTTCACCAAGTCTGCCATAGCCTTCAAATTGTAAACGTTTGCTTAGTCAAGTACATATTTTTAACTTCCCGTAGGGTAAGTTATTGTAATGGGCCGAAAATCGGAATTTAAAATTTTTACATTTCTCGACGTTTTGAAGGTTTCTGAACATTTTGGCATACCTCAGAAAAAATGGATGTGTGTGTGTATGTATGTATGGATACAAATTTTCGCCCACGTTTTCGGGCGTACGGATCAACCGATTTGAATGGTTCAAAAAACATTCGATTCTTATTGATATGGAAAAGAGCTGATTAGTTTTTGGCAAAGGCAGGTCCAGCCGTTTCGGAGATACGGAGCAAAGAGTGCAGAAAATAGAAATCGAATTTTTGAGAGAACGGAGTATCCGATTTGAATGATCTAAAAAACATTCAATTAGTAATGATTGGGAGTTTTTATTAGTTTTTGGCAAAGGCAGGCCCCGCCATTTTGAAGATACGGAGCTAAATATGTAAAAAATGGCAGTTTTTGAGAGAACTAAGCGTCCGATTTAAATGATTCAAAGAACTTTCTGCTTGTCTTAACAAAATATTGATTTTTTGGAAAAAAAAAATTGTTTCATTTTTTTTTTTTTAGTTTTTTTGTATATCGAAATATTCAGAAACATTTAGTATTCCTCGAATATTTCGTACGGTACGGGATTCCAGCAATTTGCCTTAAGGCGCGATGCCATATTGCTTCAAGACAGATTCCACTTACAGCTAGTTTTTTTTAATAATTGCCCAAATATAGAAGGGCACGACATAGGCAGTGGTGTATGACTTGAGCAATCTTACCCTACATTTATAATTTATTATTAGAATTTGTTTAATGGGTATATATCATAAATATATATTTAAAACAGCTATTTATCTTACAGGCAATTCGATCTCCTTCCTTGAAACAGAACAATCAGCCAGGCTGTCTGTTACGTTTTGAAATGTCCTTTTGTGATCCTTTTCCTGTTCGTCCAGACATGGTTCTATCGAAATGTGAAATTGAAGACACATTGTTTAAGGACGGGTGTCAATTGGCAGTATCTGAAAAATATGTTTTAAATTAACCACGAGTATATATATTATAATATATGTATTATATTAAATTCAAACTGTTTATCAAAATAATTAGCATGTTTTGATAAATTTGCACAAAATTGTGCAATTTATCCTACAGCAACATATACATCAGTACACTTATAAATCAATCGTAAATTAGTATATTGATTTCTTTTTTATTGCGTCGATTATTTACACATGCCGGAAAGTTCGTTCAGTAGCCTAGGAATAATGCCACTTACAGCTAATGCTTTATATATTTAATAATTGTGAAATAAATATAGTCGCTACATATAAAGATAGAACAAATTTATTGGCAATGGAGATTATTCATTATCTAATCTACTTTGGCAAGATAAGACAAATTTGCAGTAAACATCAAGTAATCGCAAATCGAATTCTCTAGAAATAATCAGTTTGAAGTTCACTGTCGGTTATTGTGGAGCAAGTGAAAATGGATCATGACTCAATATCAAGTGAAAATTTCTTTAGTGATAGTGATGAAGAACGTGAAAAAAATGCTGAACTATTCTCAGCCATAAGAATCGGAAATTTAGAAGAGGTACAGAATTTACTGACCGCTGGTGTAAAAACCAATATAGTTGACAAAAATAATAAAGACAATACGCCTTTGCACTATGCCACGGAGAAAAATAAAAAAGATTTGGTTGAGGAACTTTTGCATCCAAAATGGAAAACAGATATAAATGCCGGGAATACAAGGGGCGATACTCCATTGCACATTGCAGTTTCGAAAGGATTTAAAGACATTGTGCAAATATTGTTAAAACACAATGCAAAAGTTGATGTTTCCAATAACATCGGTAAAACACCTCGAGATATTGCCAAAATGATTAATAATGAAAAAATTGCGCAAATGTTGTGCCCAGTATTAGCTACAAGTGAAAATCAATCAGAACATATGGTAGGAATTGAGGAAGAAGCAAGCCATTCATTCACAAACGAACCAAGTAAGTAAACTTCAGTATTTAACCCACTTGCATCATAAAGAAGCCTAGAAAACTATTGGTGCGTTTTAAAATTCTTTTGGTATGGGAATTTCAGCAATAATCCTTAAGGCACAATGCCATGCCCCATTAGTTTTACTTTTTTATTGGATCTCCAAAACCGCTAGACCTGCCTTCCCAAAAGTTATCAGTCCTTCATTTCAAATCAAAGGAAGTATCCGATTTGGATGGTCCAAAAAACATTAAATTTGTAATGATAGTGAGAAGTGGTGATTAGTTTTTGGCAGAGACAGATCTAGCTGTTTCGAAGATACGGGGCAAAAACAGACAAAAATGGTAATTCAATTTTTGAGAGAACCGATCATCCGATTAAATTGATTCAAAATACATTTTGCTTGAGTAGACGGTGCGCAAAAAATGCTTTTACAAAAAATTTCGAAATTTAAAAAAAATGGAAAAAAACTAAATTTTCAGAAAGATTCAAAAAATACAAATTTTCACCATTTTCAAAAAAAAACTAAATTTTGAAAAATCTCAAAAAATATCAAAATTAAAAAAAAAGATTTCTTACAAAAAATTGAGAATATTTCGAATTTTTCCAAATACCAAAAATCCAAAAAATTTCGAACTTCTAAAAAAATTCCAAAATTTTGAAAATATTTCTAAATTATCAAAAAAATTAAATTTAAAAAAAATAAAAAAAGTTGTTTGAAGAATACGCTCGTCGCCTAATTTAAAAAGCACAGTATGTATTTATAATAAATAATCTATTCGAAATTATTCAGAACAATTATCGATTATTTTCATTTCTCGAATGTTTAATTACGGTACGAGAAGTTCCGGCAATTTGCCTTAATTATTCAAATCGGTTGATCCGCGTTCACAAAATCGTCGACGAAAAATTGTCGACGCACATGCATACACATACATACAAACTAAGAATGATCTTTTTTAGGAGGACAAACTCTTGAAACCCAAATAAAAAGTCTCCCTGCAATTCAAGAATATAAATATCCTAAAAGACCAGGAACATCGGGAATAGGAGGCCAACATTATGAAACAAAGTTGATAATGCTGATATTGGTAAGAGCCTTAAACAGGGCAGGACTAGATTCTTTTGCTTTAGGTACAAATGTCGAAGGTTTAGGTGTTTTTGACGACATAGTTCTGAGGTATAAGTTGAAAGATGAACAAAAATTAAAATACATTTTCATACAAGCTAAACACAAAGATGACCCTGCCAAGAATAAAGTTACAAGAGAAAAACTACAGAAAAATGATGGAGATTTTGGTCTACCGAAGTATTACGATAGTTATTTATCTATTAAATATAAATTCAATCCGGACAGTAAAGATCCTGTATTCGCCGAATACTTTCAAGATTTAGATTGCAGCTTCATTATTTATACTCCTTCTAAGGAAGCAATTAATCAGAACAAAAATGAAAATCTTTATACAAATAATGATGACTTGCTTCACATAAATGCCAAAGGAAAAACTCTTCCATTGGAATCTGTTGAAGTGCATGGTCTTGTACAAACCATAAAGGAAATGCGTGTTAAACAATTAGCTGAAAAAATGTATGAATTTATTTTTTCTAAACCAGGCAGTTACAAAAACATACTCTCGGATGACCTGATGAAAACCTATCACGTATTTTTGGCGCAAAATATCATACTTGTTTCTGATGACGAATCCGAAGAATATTGCACTGGAAAATTTAGACCCGATGATAATAATAATTTGTTATCTATTTTTAACAAAATAATTGAGGAAAATAGATTAAAAGAAAACAAAAACGCTGCATTATCATTCAAATTACCGATTGGTTTTGGAAATCTTGATTTAAAAATAAGAGGAAACGAAAAGAAGCAAAATAAAAGATTAGATCATTTGTCATCAAAGTTAATTGAATTGTTCAAAAATTTGAAAGATGGGGATAATATTATTCGAATTGATGACAAAATAGTTGGTGCTGAAAAACTTCTCACAAAAGGTGAATTGGATATCAACGGCGGTATCGGTGGTTTAGTTGGAAATCTTCTCATTTTGGATGAATCGACTGGATTGCTCAAATTCAATACCGACGAAGATTTATTGCCAACGTGTTCCAAGAATCTATTCAAGAAATTACAAGCCGGCTTAGCACATGAGTATTTAAACCTAGTACGATTTGAAATTGATATCAAGGATTTTCCTAACTTGTCCTTAGTCGACAACAAGCTGTTCAGACAATTTTTAAATCAAACAAAATTATATACTGATCAAGCTAATGAAGATGAAGTGGAAAAAATAATTAAGCAGGAAATCAATAAATATTATCAAAAAAAACAATCGTTTTTCGATTCAAGTTTTGAAACCGATACCGTTTTTGAACACGTTCACAATAAGATACAGGAGTGGTGGAAATGCCAATATCAAACTTCGTATTTAACAGAAAATTGTAATTACTTCGATAATGTGTATAAAGAGATTCAAGATAAGCCAATTTTAAACAGTTTTAGAATTATGTATATTAAGAGTATCGAACGTTTTGGCATCGAATTTAAATGCGATTCGATTACAAAACTGGGTTTGTCAGAATTTGAAGATCAACTTGAGAAACGAGTGTTAAATATTATCACAAAGCAAAAGTTATTAACATGTATTAAATTAGTACAAAAGTATAGATCGTGTGAAAATGTCGAATTTATTGACCTCCAGTATCTCTATTCACAATCGCGCGATTATGTTGAAACAATTTTGGAAGCATTAAGCCAAAAAACGCAATGGCAAATTTTGATAATAATTTCATTCGTCACCGAAGAAAATGTAAGTAAACTCTACTCAAATTTTGAAAAATTACTAAACTCTGATAATAAGAAAAAACTAATTTTAATCTCTCAAAAGAATGACACTCTGGCTGAAAAATTCAAAGACTATTTTGATAGAATTGGTAGTTTTTGGGAGCAAATAGATGATCATATTAATTTGAGTAATCTGGATGAAAATTCACAAAATATAATTTTATCAAAAAGGATCATATTTCAAGGAGAAGAAACATATTTGAATACCGTAATAGATGATTCTTCCAAAAGTTTTATACAAGGTGATGTGTTGTCCACCCTTGTCAATGATAATATTTTAGAAATTGGAAAAACATTAGTAGATGCAAAATACACGCAATTTTATATAGACCGAACATTAGTTGGCGGAGAACAATTTATTGGCAAGTTCATGAATGAATATCGGTGGAATAATAACCCACACTACGGATGGTGTCCCAGTACAACTTTTAAAAAAATAACAGATTCATCAGCAAAAGTATTTATCATTTCCGCCGATCCAGGTATGGGCAAATCAACGACATTGACACATTTAGCAGTGCAAACTAAACAAAATGATCCATCTTTATGGATTTTACGAATTAATTTAATAAATTATGCAACCGAATTACAGCAAGAAGAAGAAAAGAGTAACAAATTCACAGAATTAGATGTTGTTAAATTTTTATATAAAACTGCCAGTTTCAAACTTTTCCAAAAACAAAATAAGGATAAAGGCGTACGAAATTCAATCATAGAATATATACTAAACAATTTGATTGTAGAAAACGGAAAATTAATTCTAAAAGCATCCGAAAAAGAAATTAATGAGTTGGATTTGCTTGAAATAAATCTATTTAACCATTGCTACAACAACGGAAAAATGATTTTACTATTTGACGGATTCGATGAGATTAGTCCACACTACAAAGATAAAGTTCTGGAAATGTTTTTTATTTTGAAGATGAGCGAAATACAGAAACTATGGATAACTACCCGTCCTTACAACAAAATCAAAATCGAGTTGGAAAATAAACTTGAAACTTCTTCGTACTCACTAGAGCCACTATCTCCTGAACAACAAATCAATTTCTTACAAAAATTCTGGAAACAAAGTTGTACAATTAAGGAATGGAATGATGAGCGATCAGAAAATATAATTTCTAAAATGTTACAAGTGATAGATAAAACCCCTTATAATTCTGATTCGATGATGAGCATTCCACTGCAAGCACTCATGGTGGCAAATATTTTAAAGAATGATTTCGAATATTATTACACATTGGGTAACAACAATAAATTCATATGGAGCGGTTTGGATTTAGTTATGTTATATGAAAAGTTTGTCAAAATAAAATATTTTGAGATTGAGAGCGAAGAGAAACGGAATATTAACATTGCTGATCCATATCATAAGCTCAAAGAAGACAAAAACTACCGATTGGTTCTAGAAAATCATGAATTATTAGCGTTATATTCATTAATTAAAAAAGCTAAGCTTAAAAAAATATTAAGTCATGGAGAAAGAGAAGAAATTCAATCTTTAATGAAGAAAAATGAGCAGGCTATTGAAAAATTAGGAATTATTGTTGGCAATATTGACGGAAGACCAAAATTTATCCACCGAACCTACGCTGAATATTTCGTCTCTTGTTATTTCTGGAATAAATTCAAATCTATTAGTATTGATGACTTCAAAAAATGTTTTGTAAACGATATTTTAATTGATATCATTGATAAAGCTCAAAATATACAAGTGATGAATTTTTTACAATTAAAAGCAAAGCACAGTGAAAATGATATAACCGATGTTGGCATAGAGATTAAAATTCAAATCTTATTACGAAACTTGCACAAGTTCAAATCACAGATACGTTATACCGACGTTTACTCATTAATAGCTAATTTAATGGCTAATACACAAGATGCATGTAAAATTGTAAATATGATTCCTGATCAAAATCATCAATACGAAATATTATGTGCTAGTATAAAAATTGGGCATCAAAAACTTTCTTATGCCTTAGTGGATAAATTGGACGCAGAACACTTAACAAGTAATATAAGAAGTACCGAGAAATATAGTCAAAACCCTTTGTTTTTAGCAATTGATAATGGGCACTATGATATCGCACAATATATGATTAAGAAAATGTTGTTTGATGAAAATTGGAGACAAAAAAGGTTTAACACAATCAAGGAAAATATAATTGAAAACAATTTAATGAAGTATCTAGAATTTGGATTGAAGATGAATTTGATTGACGGTAAACCCTTCAGGAGTAATTTTTGTGGAAATCGTTTACCGATAATTGAAATAGTGAAAAAAACTGGGCCACCTGATATAGCTTGTCTGTTGATAGAAAAGACTGATATCGAAGATTTAATTTCGGCAAAGAATAGTGACAAGCTTTTATCTTACTTGCTCGTGTACAATAAAATGGTAACAATGAAATTACTTGAAAAGCGTTTTGATTTCAATATAAGTTTGAACACACTTTTAATGAACTATTTGAGAGCTCTTGAAAGCAATAACCGTTATTTTTCTAATAATGTTTGGATACCGAAATTTGTTTTCTATAATTACCCTTTTAAAAATAAAGAAAAAGATTATGTTTGCAATTTATATGATAGGGTCGTACTCATTCTTAAAGGTGGTTCGGGATATAACTCTTGTATTGATGGTTTTACAACAGTTCAGAATGCTGAAAAGCTCTATTATAAAACAAGTTTTCTAAGAAAAATATATGAATTCCATAAAAAAAGTATTGAAAAAGGGATCGATCCACTGGATGTGAGATATCAACTGATCGTTAATGTGCTTAGCAAATTAAACTGCCACCAATATAAAATTAAAAATGCAAACAATACCAATCCACAAATGATACCTGAAGCAAGTCTGATACATCGTATTCATGATCTAGTTTTGGAAGGAGGAATAGAACTGGAAGGTGCATTCATACAAGTGTTAAAAGAACATTTGAGATTTGGAAATCAAATGGAAGAACTACTCAAAACCAAAGGGTTGTGTGATCATGATAAATTGTTGGATGTGCTAAATATAGAAGGAATAAATATAGATGTTGAACTCCAAGAATATATACTTGGAATTTTTGAACACAATCGTGACAATTTAATATACCTTTGGTCAATATTTATCCAAATAGCTGAAAATAAAATTGAAGCTCCATTTTTAGAATCATTGTTTGTATTTTTTCACAACTGTTCACAAATTTACAAGTTATTGAAACAGCTTAACGAATATTTTGTTGAACTAATGAAAGCAGTTAAAGATACAAAACACCAGAATGTGAAAAGCATTTTACAACAAATAGATACTGATTTTGTGAAGGCAGTTATTAATGGTCACGATGTTGACTACGGTTCTCCATTACATTACGCAGCATTCAAAGGAGACACGGAAATGACTAAAATCCTTCTGAATTTTGGAGCTAATGCTAACCTTGTATTAAAATCTAATCATAAATATTTAGTTCGTAATCACGCTTTTGCGGCCAAAAAAGAACATTTTTATTCTCCACTACAAGTAGCAGCAGAAAACGGCCACTATGAGATTGTTCAGATTTTGATAGACAATGGTGCCAAAGCTAAAGTACCTTGGATAAACTCAATGTTACTTCTATGGTTATGTAAAAGACGCTATACAAAGACTATGGACATTCTCTTAAAAAATTCGGCAAATGTTGATGCCGTCGATAAAAGAAAACGTACAGCATTACATCATGCAGCCATTAATGGCCACATAAAAATCGTGCAATTATTAATAGAAAATGGAGCCAATTTTAATATAATTGATAAGTTGAATCGGACACCATTCGATTGTGCTTTTTTAAATGATCACAATGAAATCGTGCAATTTTTTTTAAGCAATGGTTTGGTTGAAAATCAAGGTCGTATAAAAATTCTCGAGCTTTTGCTTCAGAGGACCAAAACGCAGTCTTTAAGCAGTTGTCGTCAATTTAACGCAGAAATACCAATTTCATTGCATTACGCAGCTAAAGCAGGTGACACAGAACTCACAGAATTATTGTTGGAGGAAAGTAAAAGTAAAGTGAATGCTGTTAACAACAGAAAAGAAACACCTCTGCACTTGGCAGCCCAAAAGGGACATTGTGAAGTTGTTCAGATTTTGATAAATGCTGGTGCCAATGTAAATGCTACAAATAGCAACAATTGCACTGCACTACACTTTGCTGCACACAATGGCCACAAGGAAACAGTTGAATGTTTAATAAAAAACAAAGCTATAGTCAATGCTTTTGACACATATAATTTCACACCACTTCATCTGGCAAAAATCAATAATCACACAGAAGTAGTTGAAGTTTTATTAAAGAATGGCGAATTTCTTATGAATCTTATTAATGCTTATTAAAATTATCAATGCTTATTTTTAGCTTCCCGAAGGATAAGTTTGTTTTCATCAAAAATTCCGATTCTCTAATTTTATGTTTTCTAGACGTTTCAAGCCATTCTGAATCAAATGAGATCAAATTTGGAAAAAGTTTGTGTGTGTGTGTGTATGTGAATAGATTTTTTGCCGTAAATCGATGTTTTCTCGAAAACGGCTGAGCCGATTTCAAAAATTTAAAAGCCATTCGATATATCTCGACGAGAACTATTGTTTGTCAGTTTTGTGCGACGATCGGCCAAGCCGTTTTTTTATAAATCGCAGAAAAGTGCAAAATTTTTCGTCTACGTTTCAGCCCGCAATTCTGAATCGATTTTAAAAATTCAAAAAGCGTTCGAAAGATATTGGTTGGGAATCGTGCTGATTAGTTTTTGGTAGAGATCGGCCGGGCCGTTTTCTTGTAATAAAGTTTAAAAAAAAAAAAATTCGACGATTTTTATGATTATTTTTTTGACGGTAGATACCACAGTCCTCTAGATCATACTAAAATATTACGACCCTACGACAACTGGTTCAGCTTTAAAAATTCGTCAAAGTTTGCAAAAATTGGTATCGTTTTTTTGGCATTTGTCAAAATTAGACTTTTGATCGACGTTTTCTCATGAAACGCCTGAACCGATTTTAGAAATTTAAAAGACATTTGATGTATTTCGGTGAGGACTATCGTTTGTCAGTTTTGGGCGACGATCTGCCAAGCCGTTTCTTTGTAATTTGAAAAAAAGTGTTAAACTTTTCGTCCACATTTAAGCTCATCCTACCGAACCGATTTTAAAAAATCAAAAACTGTTCGAAAGATATTAGTTGGGAATGATACTGATTAGTTTTAGGTGAAGATCTACCGAGCCGTTTTCTTGTAATTAACTGTTGAAAAAAAAATTTAAGCCGATTTTTATGGAATTTTTTTTAGCGATATATACCATGGTCTTATAGAATTTACTGAAATATTACGGCCTTACGACTAATAGTTTGATTTTAAAAATTCATCAAAGTTTGAGAAAATGAGTAGTTCTCTTGACATTTGTTAATATTAAAATTAGACTATTTACTTGGTATAATGATAGAGTACTTGGTCTTGAACATAATAAACCATTAAAGTCCTGGAAACTGGTTCAATTATAAAAATTATTGATTTCTGAAAATTTACTTTTAAAAAAATACTCCCAGTTAATCTGTTTGTTTGTTTTCAATTATGTGTAATAAATCCACTCGGAATACTTTTAACCACTCTTAAATTAAATTAGTTTTTATTGATTAAGTCGATTATTTACTCATATCGGAAAGTTCATGTAACTTGCCTCAAGGCTAAATACCAAACCAACTAGTTATATCTATAAAGCTGGGTCGATAGAAATAATAATTATAAGAATTAAAATATAAAACTAATTTATAAAAAATATAAAGAATAATTTAAAAATAAAAATAGACATTTTTTCAAAGCAAATTGAACTAATAATCAAAACGTTCTTACCTAAACTCGCATATTTTCTTTACTTTTTGAATAATGCATAAACTGTATGATAAACCTACTTTTTAAAAACTAAATCTAAATCTCCTGTCGGTTTAGCCTTTTCCATCTCCTGTTTAAGTTCCTCCATATTCAGCAAAGACGTGAAACAAGTCTTAAGCTCATCTTTGGCGGCCTAAAAACAAAATTATAAATTGATAAAATAATCGACATATACAATTGAAAATAAAACTAGTGGTGCACGGCATCGTGCCTTAAGACAAATTGCTGGAATTTCACGTATCGTAACAAAATGTTCAAAGACTATTAAATGTTTTCAAATAGATTTTTATAAATATTGTATCATTGTCTAAAATTTATAAGAATTATATAAACTTAGAATTAGATTATAGAAACTAAGAATAAATTATATAAACTTAGAATAAATTGCAAAGTTGAAATTATTTGTTTAAAGTATTTTAGAACTATAGTTAGAAATAAAAATTATATGTGAATTATTTTTGATATACAAAAAAATTTTTTTGGAAAAAAAAAAAGTTGGAACAAATTTTTTTTTCTAAAATCAATTATTTTGAAATAATTAAATTGAAAATAAAACTAGTGGTGCACGGCATCGTGCCTTAAGGCAAATTGCTGGAATTTCACGTATCGTAACAAAATGTTCAAAGACTATTAAATGTTTTCAAATAGATTTTTATAAATATTGTATCATTGTCTAAAATTTATAAGAATTATATAAACTTAGAATTAGATTATAGAAACTAAGAATAAATTATATAAACTTAGAATAAATTGCAAAGTTGAAATTATTTGTTTAAAGTATTTTAGAACTATAGTTAGAAATAAAAATTGTATGTGAATTATTTTTGATATACAAAAAAATTTTTTTGAAAAAAAAAAAGTTGGAACAAATTTTTTTTTCTAAAATCAATTATTTTGTTAAGACAAGCAGAAAGTTCTTTGTTTCATTTAAATCGGACGCTTAGTTCTCTCAAAAACTGCCATTTTTTGCACATTTAGCTCCGTATCTTCGAAATTGCTATGCCTGCCTTTGCCAAAAACTAATAAACACTTCTCCCAATCATTACTAATTAGTTTTTTAGATCATTCGAATCGGATACTCCGTTCTCTCAAAAAGTCGATTTCTATTTTCTGCACTCTTTGCTCCGTATCTCCGAAACGGCTGGACCTGCCTTTGCCAAAAACTAATCAGCTCTTCTCCCTACCAATAGGAATCGAATGTTTTTTGAATCATTCAAATCGGTTGATCCGTGCGCCCGAAAACGTGACTGGAAATTTGTATCCATATATACATACACACACACATACACACAAACACATCCATTTTTTCTGAGGTATGCCAAAATGTTCAGAAACCTTCAAAACGTCGAGAAATGTAAAAAATTTGAATTTCGATTTTCGGCCTATTACAATAACTTACCCTACGGGAAGTTAATAAAACCTGATTTATTTTCAATATGCAAAAAAAAACTTTAGAAAAAAATTGTTTTTTTTTCAAAAGCAATTGTTTTGTCAACACAAGCAGAAAGTTTTTTGAATCATTCGAATCGGATGCTTAGTTCACTCAAAAACTGCCATTTTTTGTACATTTGTCTTTGCCAAAAACTAATAAGCACATCTCCATATCAATAGGAATCGAATGTTTTTTGAACCATTGAAATCGGTTGATCCGTGCGCTCAAAAACGTTGACAAAAAATGCGGGCACACAAAACACACACATACATTTTTTCCAAGGTATGCCAAAATGTTCAGAAACCTCTGAAACGTAAAGATATAAAAACATTTTCATTTTCGATTTTCGGGCCATTACTATAACTTGCCATACGGGAAGTTTAAAAATTATACTTACAAAAGCTTTATCGTAAGCATCGTCGCTTCCACTTTCCTTTCTGCATTTTTCTCTGGCCAGTTTTTCTGCTTCCTCTGTCGAAGGAAGTGCTGAAATGTTCAATTTTCCGACCAGATCTTCTGGTAATTTGTCAACAACCTCCTGCAGATTAATCTCGTCTTCTGCTTGTACACAAAGCACTCCACCTGGTAATGGTAATATAATTAGAAACAGTTCATTTCACTTATATAATATATATAATAATATTAATAAATTTATGAATAATAGAATTCCGCTGAAGCCAATAAGAAAATCCAGGATGGCCATTTAACAAGGTTGTCTTTAGAAAGTTCCTTTTAATACTTGACTTCTAGTTTAAATCGATTTAATCATTTACCATTGCTTGCTTGTCTAAGCACAATATGAATAATTTTCAAATTTTTTCGTTATTATCGTATGGTTTGCTGAATTGCTGATTTGACACAGTCAAACGGTCACCAAGGCCGATGCACTCATTCTATTAATATAATATCATAAAACATTACGAATCATCCTCCTCACATAAGACACGTGCCTTCATTATCATTTATTTCGTTTAATAAATAATTATTTAATGATGTTATTAAATATACATAACTCGTCTTCAAGATTTTTTCTGTTACATTCGCCCTTGAAAAGTAGCTTTTTTTTGTGAAGATCTTTTAAAATCATAGGAAAGTGGTTTGATTATAAAAATTCATTAAAGTTCAAAATTCGATTACCATGAAAGCTGCAAAATTTCAATACTTATTGAATAAGTCGATTATTTACACATATCAGGAAAATTTTGTAATTTACCTTAAGGAAAATGCCACTTACACCTAGTTTCTCAAAAAGTCTTGAATTTTAAATATTTCAAATTGCTTATAAAATTAGAACAAAAATATATCATTTTTGATCAATTTTCAACTCAATTGTTATGTCAACAATATATATAATAATTTAAATATAATAATTATTATATTTAAATTATTTTTATTATATAAATATATATTAATATGAATAGAGAAATATTGCTAGTTTATATTACATTATATTGAGCCGAGATAAACATAATTGTTTGACTTTTTTTTAGTCTAGGAGGCATCATGTCCTCAACTTTAGTTTTTGATTTAAAATTTCTAGTTGTGTTGATTTTTTTTATTAAAGTTTTGAGAACAATTTTTTAACTGATAATGACACACGTTAATAAGTAATGTTTTCTTTTAACTCGAGGTCGAAAAAACTATATATGTGTATATATATATATATATATATATATATATATATATAAATGAATATAAATATATATACTCTCATTTCATACTATTTTTTAATGATGTAACGCCTAACTTTTCAAATAAAATATATTATATCAACATCAAATTCAAATCTATTCAAACATGTATATATATATATATATATATATATATATATATATTATATTATATTATATCATATTATATTATATTATATCATATTAAATTATATCATATTACATATACCTAATAAATATTTATATTGTATAAAATATTCATGTATAATGCTGCTCTAATTGTTTACATAAAACTAAAAATAAATGTATAATGTGACTCCTGTATCTAACAAGAAATTGTTTATGTATAATGAGTAATATAGAATTTAAATATATTTGCATATTTCTACAAAACTGTTTTAAACACAATTTTACAGCAAACTCTGACCATGATTTCCTGATGACGTACAAAGCAAAAACTTATTTATTGTTAAAAACTAATCAGCAAGAAATAAATAAATAGTTTTTTTTATAACTGCCATTAGTCGCGGTGTCTAGATTTGAAAAATAAAAAACTAGACCTTAGACATTGAATTGAAGAATCAATAAATATGCTTTTCATCGCATAAATTTACATAATCACACTGCTGATTTGAAAATAATAAAAAATTTAAATTTAATTAGCGACATTTTTAATAATACTTTTGACATAACCTTAAAATGATTTCATGTTAAATTTTTACTTTGAAATTTATTGTTAATAAAATTATTATAAATTATCAAATATATACTTAAGATTATGCATTCGACATAATAATCGATAATTCATGTTTTAATTGGTGTTTTAATATAGTTTTTATTACTTAAAAAACATGGCCGTTATCGTTTTGTAGTTAATTGTCAGTTTCGTTATGAATATTATACTAATTTTGCTAATAAGTGTAATTAAACTGATTGTAACCTAATATGCAATTTCTATAAATAGTAATAGTTATAAATGTACTTACATTACGCGTTTCAAATTATATACATCTATCTAATCAAAAAAACAAACTAGAAAATTCGCCATTTAGCCACCATTACAACACGATTAGATCTAACGCATTATACATAACCTTTACTTAAAAATTATTATTAATAAAATAATAAAAAATATTGATTTTTTAAACAAAATACAATTTAAGTTAATAGTTATGATTTAGATTTAGATTTAGCCGAAAATTCAAGTTATAATTAGTGTTTTAAAATATTTTTATTATATAAAAACATGGACGTTATCGTTTAGTAGTAAACTATCAGTTGCATTGTAAATATTACTAATGCTGCTAATAAGTGTAATTAAAATTATTGTTACAACTAAATATGCAATTTATATAAATAATAACAGTTTTATATGTACTTACATTAAGTATTTGAAACACAACATGTATATTATCACTAAAAGAAAATGCACAATTCGCAATTAAGCAAATGGAAAACTCAACCACCTTATTGCTAGTGACGTCACGACCACAGCTACCAACAAACACGTTCGAAAAACTTAAAAAAAAGTTTTGAAAAAAGAAAATTTATGTGAAAAAGTTATTTATTTTAACTTGACGAAGAATTGACTCTCCTTTTGCACAAGGTATGTATTTTTATATAAAATAAATAGTTATTACACAAATATTATAATAAAATTTGTATATCAATTTGAATTTATTATAATGGCGTGAAGTCGTCAAACATTCCGGTGTGTTATAGAAGTACAAAACTTAATTTTAAAATAATTAATAGAATAATAAATTAAGACACGAATCTCTCTAATGTCAAATTATGTAAACACAATTTCCAATTATATTAATTATAATAAATAATATTAACACTTCCAATCATCCAATAACTATTTACAAGACTAACTGACAGTTGCCGCCATTTTGAAAAAACTGACAGATGCATTTAAAAAAATTAATAAATGTTTAAATAATTATATTCAATTTATTATAATTAAAGAAAATATTATATTAACAAAAAACTTAAACTTATGTTCCTTTTTTCAAGCCTATAAAACTTTTTTACTAATATTTATATATTCATTACTTTATCATTTATTATTTCATCATTCTTTCAAAATGCTGACAGGTTTCTCAAAAAGGTGTAAAAGGACTTTTTTGACCTATAGAATAAAATCTTTGTAAACAAAGATTCATATACAAAACATTACATTGTGTGAATATATTAATCAGAATAAAAATAGAAATAAAGTACAAAGTCTAATCAAGCTCGCGATAACAAAATCCACTGAATCATACAATGGTACTGAATCATAAAACAAACAATAAGTATATTTATGTATATTACTAAAACAATTCAAATATTCACAGAAAACCTGATAATTTTTTATAAAATATAATCTTATTTGTATTATTTATAATCGCAATTTTTCAAACTCTATTGTTACATATTTTAGTTGTTAAATTGAATTTTTGGCTACTTAATGAAGGCTAGAATTATAACCAAAACGTATGAAACTTCATGTTTTTTATTGATGATTTTATTCTCTGACAATACATAATGTCGTTTAATGTCAGCTCCTATTAAAAAGGAATTCGATCCAAACAAATTAAAAGTGATTGTATATT